TCATTCTTTAATTAGGGACCATGGTTGAAAAAATCCAATCACTCCGGGGCTAGTAACTTACTCGCAATGCGGAAAGCTGACTCGTAAACTTTACAAATACGGGAATTGTCCCCGTGGCGTTGCGATCGATGAAGACCCGTTCCACTCTTCCGTACTATTACATAGCATATTTGTTAGCAACAACATCAACAAAAGCCGAGACCTCATTTTCTCAGGGAGTATAGCCCCAAATACCTTTTCAGCACACTCGTCTCCAATCTCTTGCATCAAACCTCCACCTTCACCACCCTCAAGCTCTGCATCCAGATCCATGCCGTCAACCATGCCGTGAAGCACTACCACTTCACTCATTCGCCCGAATTTGCCATCATCTGATGCCTTCTGTTTTCCACCGATAATCTTAGCTCTTCCAGCGGGGGTTGCAAAGCCTCCACCCTCAGAATCCGGTTTTTTCTTTTGTTTTTCTAGCTTGACCTGTAAGGGTTTGACTATGCCTTCCCCACTGGCGCCCAAACCGGACCCCTTGGTCCAACCATACTTTGTGAGTAGCCTCTCTGCAAATCCTTTCTGGCCGGGTCGAAGGGATCGGGGCGCTTCTCCGTCTGCTTCTTGTTTACTGTCTTCCTCTTCCGCAAAAGTCGCCTCCAGCTCTGCTTCCGTCGCAGGAATCTCTTCAGGAGCTGGGGGTAACGTGTAACGGACTGGGGCTCTAGATATGGTGGCAGAATAAAAATTTTGGCCAGACGGAGTGACTGGAGGAGGAGTAGGTTGATATGATGAAGGTAGGGGCACAGAAGGACTAGGTATATTTGTCGGGTTAGTATCTGGTGTTGGATAAATATTCTGACTCAACCGGAGCCGTCGAGCATATGCATCTTCCCCAGTTGCATCATCTGGGATTGGTGCTGAAGGCGCCGGAGCGGATTCTGATGAACCTTCCGAATCCTGCTGTGCAGGGCGAGGTTCATTAAGGTTTGGAGGAGGAGCAAAGTTGAGCCCTGGAGGCACAAATCGTCGTTCTGTATATGAACGTTAGAAAAAGCAGAATTCCATCAAATGGTAAAGAATTAGCCGAGTCTTACGGTTTCTTGGTGATCGTGAATAGTCCTCATCACTATCCATATCACTGCTTGTTCTAGCCATCCGATGTGCATATAGCCGGTCCTTCCATTCTCGAACTTCCCGTATTTTTTCCTCACTGTGCCTGTATGCTTCATAGATATTTGGTCGCGAAGGGTCGTAAATATCATCCCAATTCTGGAGATTTGTTTCTTCCTCCCGATTCTTCTTGCGCTTTTTGCGGCCACCCCGCTGTCGTTTTTCTCCGTCATAAAATCCGTTCACATCGTCATCGTCAGCTGTTGTAGCCCAATCTGCAAGTGTCGTCTTTGCAACAGGTTTGGCAAGAGTTCCAACCACAGGAGATGTGCCAGTCGCGGATCCAATTACAGGAGCCTTGGGAACTCCGGATTTAGGTTTAGCTTTTTGGGAAGCCAACTGAGGCCTTTTGGTAGGCTGAAACCGTAGAGAAGCTGATTATTCCATGGAACAAGGCCAACAGCACAAACGAGTGAGCAAATAAAATCGGGGATATTAAGAATGAATGGTCGGGGAAGGGCAAATTTGGCTACCAGAACTTATCTGCTGCTTCTTTGAAGCTGCATCGTTTTGTTGTGCTTCAGTTTCCCCGGCTTGCTTAAACACAACTGGAGCACGCGAAATAGTTCCAGGGGCGAAACTGCTATCTGAAGACGGATCAAGCAAGTTGGCGTAAAGCGACATCAAACCACCCTCTGGGGGAGGATGGGAAGCCATGCTGAGTAGCAAGAATTAGGCTCGACGGCTGCTCATAAATGCCAGCACAATAAATGATTAGCGGCAACAAACACGCTGGGTATCTACAAGGCATAGACACCTACACGCCGTGGTGCGAAAATAGATTGCTTGTTTGAACTGTACGTGTTTTTGTCGTCGTTCCGTCGCAGACGCAGGGAAATTTCAAGTGAAGAAGTCGGGATACTTGGCAGCTTTGCAGTGTTTGCAGTTGACTGGGAATATGTTTTATCCGCACCACGTCATCGGTTAGCTAAGCTTTTATTTGTCATGAGATTAGTTAACTAGTTAAACTAGTAAACGAAGTAGTTTCGGAGTCATAGCAAAATTAGTTAAACAGCAGCATCAAAGATCTTTGAGTTGCACTAGTATGATTCATACTTGATTTTAATTTTAGTTATTCAGTTCATAAGATACTTATTCCATTCGTTTGATTTACAGTATGATATTGGGTTTTAGATTTTAGATTCTGTCTTAAATTTGGTATATTCCATCTTCAGCGATGTCTACTTTAGCAAATTCATTCCCGGACAACACGTCCACAGCGATTATCGTTCCCGGCAAACTGCCGGTATTAATTTCATATCAGCGACTGTGTTCCGACGTCCTGTCATTCCAAGCGAAACTTGCCAAGCTGGGGATTTCGCCAGGGGCAGCTGTTTCTATAGCGCTGACCAATTCCTACGAGTTCATCGTCTCCTTCCTCGCCGTTTCATTGCAGAGAGCAATTGCAGCGCCTCTAAATCCAGCATATAAGCAGGATGAGTTCGAATTCTACATTGATGACTTGAGTTCTGCATTGGCGCTTGTCCCTAAGGGCTCTTTGGGAAATGATGTACCCGCTGTCCGTGCTGCTAGAAAATATTCTGCTGCCATCGCTGAATGCTATTGGAATGGAGAGGAGGTGGTTTTGGACGTGAAGGAGATTGGGAAATTGGCCGCAAAGGGCGGTTTTAAGAGGGAGGAGCCTCGGCCTGATGACATCGCCTTGGTGCTCCACACATCTGGTAAGTAAGTTTTAAGCAGTAGTGGTCAGGAATTTGGACGGCTGCAAATCGAATTATTGAATCCTCTCAATGTCGCAGTTTAAGACGTTCCTCTGCCGTTCATTTGTAAATAAAGGGTACAAGAATGCTAATATCTATATCAGGGACGACTGGCAGGCCGAAAGCTGTAAGTTGACAAAAGATCATCCGTTAGAATATTCTGCTCATGATATCTAGGTACCCTTGACCCACCGGAATCTTATAAGGACCATGGGTATGTTCAATTGTTGAAAGCCATTTGATTTTCAATGTCTATGCTAACAAAATTACTTCAGAAAATATCAAAGAAACATACAAACTCACGGAGAGGGACCGGACGCTGCTTGTGATGCCTCTATTCCATGTTCATGGCTTGCTAGCGGCATTCCTTGCACCCCTGCTCTCGGGAGGCTCTGTCATCGTTCCCGAAAAATTCTCAGCTTCGTCATTCTGGTCTGAATTTATTATGTACAAGGCAAACTGGTACACCGCAGTACCTACTATTCACCAGATCCTCCTTAAGACTCCACTCCCTAATCCTATGCCGAAAATACGATTCATTCGCTCCTGCTCCTCCCCATTGTCCCCCAAAACTTTCCATGAATTGGAGAAAACTTTCCATGCCCCAGTTCTGGAGGCTTATGCGATGACAGAAGCAGCGCACCAGATGACGAGCAATCCCCTGCCTCCAGGGAAACGACAACCAGGAACCGTTGGTATAGGCCAGGGCGTGGAGGTTAAAATCCTCGACGAGGACGGAAACGAAGTTCCTCAGGGTTTTGAAGGGGAAATCTGTGTTCGTGGAGAGAATGTCACCAAGGGATACCTCAATAACCCTGCAGCAAACGAATCATCCTTCACGAAATCTGGCTTCTTCCGCACAGGCGACCAGGGAAAGAAAGACAAGGATGGTTATGTCTTCATTACGGGGCGTATTAAGGAGCTAATCAATAGGGGGGGTGAGAAAATCAGCCCTATTGAGCTTGATAACATAATTGCGCATAACCCCAATGTGGCGGAAGCAGTATCTTTTGCTATTCCAGACGCCCACTATGGTGAAGACATAGGGGTAGCAGTTGTCTTGAAACAAAAAGGAAGTATGTCGGAAGACAAACTGAAATCATGGATTGCTCCCAAGGTTGCCAAATTCAAGATTCCGAAGAAGGTACTGTTTAGATATATTTCACTAATCATCCCCCGTTTTCTAGAAAAAGCCCAAAGTTGTTCCTATTTTCTTAATACACATTTAACTAACATATATCATTGTTTTCTTTGCAGATATGGATTCTCCCCGAAATCCCTAAAACAGCAACTGGTATCTAAGCTTTCTCTACCATCCATCGATCATTTTCCATCTTAACTAACTCAGTATCTCCAGGTAAAATACAGCGGCGCAAAGTTGCTGAAGCGATATTAAAGAGGGAGTCCTCCAATCCAAAACTGTAAAATCAATAGCTCAATTGTGTATTCAAGTTTGCAAAGTTGACAATAGAGAGATATATGTGCAGCATATCAATCCTCATAACAGACTCCGGCCCAAGAGATAAGGCCGCTTCCACAAATCGATGGAATCTATGAAATTTTACCTGTCTAAGAATTTGTTGCACCTGGACTGAAAGAGCAGCTGGAATCAATGTTTTACTAAATAAATCTTTTTTTTTTTTTTTTTAAAAAAAAAAAAAAAAAAAAAATATTGCTTAATGTCACCGCTTTAGTTTTATTTCACATTCTCGTGTTGTATTTGATGATGATTTGTTCTCTTGGCATCTTGTGACAGTGCTATTCACGCTTGTTCTTCAGCAGAAGCAAAAAGTCCTACATGGGACATTGTTATGAAGATGAACATATATTTTGCTTACACTGTAGCCCGCCTTCCTTTTGTGTAACTGTCACTCAAAATACAAAGGCTTGAAGGAAAGCATTTTACGGTATTTAAATGAGTATAGCCGGGTTAATCAGTCCAGATTTGAAATCCGAAAATCAAAGACAACTATATATATATCTATATGCGCTTTATGATCTTGAGAAATCAGACTGTATTTATTCATAGACATATCCTTCGTGCACTCAATTGGCTCGGATTCGGCCAAAACTTCGTTCCGATAACCATGGTCGCTAAAGCGATTTCGAGAACCTCCCAGGTTACAGCGGGAGCCGTATAGCGGATTTAAACTATAGAGAATTAGTTTACATGAAATATGAAGGCGGGAGAACTTGTGAGTTGGAGGCTCAACACACCGGAGTAATTTGCATCTGGCGATTTGATTAGTATATGATTTCAGTGACACCGATCAGAAAAGTGGGAAGTTGAGAACTGAATAAGGAGGAATGACATGTGTGGGGTGTGATAAAAACGAAACAAAAAGATCAAATAATTACAAAGGGGCAGTAGGAAGGGTTCAGGAATACACATACATTGTCAATATCCCACACTCCTGACGTTGCATAGATATCCTTTGACAATTGCTCTCGCACAGCTTCAGGGGACTCAGAAACTACGATCAACACACTCCCTTTCATGGGGGGTGTCTGTCCCTCTTCAGGGTGATATTCAAGCAATGCTCCTGGAAATCCAATTGATTAACTTGATGGCTTTTGCAATTTTCCGGCTCTACGGTTCTTGCAATATCAGACACAAATTGGAGGACTTTCATCATGGTAAGTCAGGGGAGATTCATATTTTACCTCCAAGTTTGAGAAATCCGGAGTCTACTTCTGGTTTAATGTTGGCGAGGTGAACACTGCATATATGTAATTAGCTAATGTTCGTATGATTTCGAGAGAGGCAAGTCACGGCGGTGAGAAGAGGATACCAGAGGCTTAGCCTCTAGAAAAACTGTCATGAGCACAGCTATGCATATCCCTCTTACATTGATCTAATTTACATGCAATCTATAAGGCTTCCGCTGAGCCAGCCTCAGGCACGGGCGGTAGCCCGAAAGGGGTACCAGATACTCATACTCTCCTTACAGAACCCATCGCAAAGATATGCAACAAGTTATGACAAAGGAAAAAAAGAACGAAGAGGGTATATATGTGTATTCAAAACTTACTTTCGAACATCTATTCTCCTCTGCAATGACCCCTTCTTATCCGGCACAATTACCAAATACTCATTCTTCTTTCCGGCAGTCGACCCCATTTTCCGCTGCTGATGGGGGCTGATGAATGAACGTAAGAGATGGTTCGCAGCTAGAAGATTCTTTGTGGGAGAGGCAGGATAATGATATTGATACAAATGCTGAACACGACAGCGACGGTGAAGGGAGAGAAGCGGGTTTCGCGAAGCCATTGTTATACGTATCCCTTTCGCTACGGTCATCTCATGTGGGGCAATTGGAGTTCGGGAAAGATGGTATAAAAACGACGCCTTTATATTGAACTATTTATAGATCTCCTGTTTTAGGGCGCTCCTCCAATCCAACCAAAGCAAGTAACGATATTTCTCTTAAACCCTCAAAAGCCCCGTAAATACACCACTTTTAGTATCGAATTATTTTCAATTAAAATGTTACATATACACCAAAAGAGTCCCTGCATTAGGTTTTATCGCCCAAATGTCAAGCACATCGGAATTGGGTCTCGACATGGAGAAGAGATGTTGAGACAATTTGTTGGCAGATAACTATCTTTACAAAAGGAGGAGATTGCAACAGTTAGTTAGCAGAGGCACTTTCTGATAATAAATGAGCTCAATTTCATATTTTCAATTCAAAGTTCCAAACAAAACAATAATTTCTAACATTATCTGTTTCAAAATTTGATGTAAATCTGCCCAACAAATCATGTGCAGTACAAGAGCAGCACTGGGAAATTACCATATCTGGATTAGTGAACTGCTTGGCAACAGAGCATTTGTAAACCAAATTTGAAAAGTTTTTTCCAGAATTTAAAAAATCAAGTAACAGCCCTCGTAGCCCAATGGTAGGGCGTCAGACTTCTAATCTGAAGGTTGCGGGTTCGAGTCCCGCCGGGGGTAAAATTCGATTGTATCGATGTTAAATGAATTTTTACCTTGCTCTGGAAGAGAGTGTTTTTTAAGTTCTTATCTTTCACCTTTGCGTAATATTTTGGGTGGAGAAGCCTTTCGTCAAATTGGAGCCGTTTAATATTTAAATGGTTAGCAAATCTATTCATCTATTGTTTACTCTCAGGGAAATCAGCTGTAGAGGGTGTTTTCTCCAGTATGGAAATATTTATGGATCCCTCTCTTTTGCGGAAATGAAGGGAAATGTGAGCAATGATGTATGAGCTAGACTGAATTGCAGAAGTCCGAGATCAAAACATTACGAATCATCCAAGCAATTTTTCTCAGGAATGTTGTGATCAGCAATGGATCTGATTTGATATGATTTCGAGCGACGTCTTCCTTGGGGTCGCTTTCGACGGAAGGACAATACCCAGGATTGTGCCAGAGCGTCGTGATATACTTTTGCTAAGTTGAAAAACAGTGCAAGGTGTAAGAAGGCTCCAGACTCACATCTCAGAATATACTAAGAAATTGAACTAATGATCTGCATAATATTATACGACGTCCAGGAGAAGCTGAAGACATTCTGTCTCGATCAGTGCACTGTCATATATATATTGAAAATATTAATCAGGACGATGGAGGAGGCAAAGAGGAGACAAGAAAAAAAAAAAAAGAAACTATACAAAAGAATACACACTTTCTTTAATCATCAACTGGTAGAAATAATTCTCACCTCATCATAGAGTGTAGTTCCCACAAACAAAATTCAACAGCTGTTTCTGTTCCCTCAAGTTCAGATCAACAAGAAAAGAAGGTTGAGAAGGTGGTTAAGCGCCCTAGCCGCCAACAAACCATATTGGATGGTAGCTTAGCGCCTTTCCCGATGATGTTACCTGATTTGTCCCAGGCCTGAACAACTTTCCCAGTGCTTTCAGCTCAGCTTCAACGTCCTTGACTATCATAACATCACATCTTCTCTCTCTCTTTTGGTAAGGCGAAACTAATACTGTTCAACCTGGTTATTTATCACTATATCACTATACGATTAATTCTACTTTCAAAAGCTCAATTGATTATCTCTCAAAACTGCCCCTCTCTTGGATCTCCCCACCCATCCATATCCCATTCCAAGTTACAAGCATTCGAACCCATCAGCAACCATGTCATCTCTCTGCACAAATCGTCTGACTGAAGAACGGTCAGTTTGAAGCTAGCTAGAATTACAATTTTTGATTTCGATATTTGCCCTTTCTCAGCGGTTCGTTTTTTACTGACAATTCCTCAATGAGCTTTCCCTTCACAATCCTGCAGAAAGCAATGGCGAAGAAACCACCCCTATGGCTTTTATGCAAAGCCACGCAGAAACGCAGCAGGAGCGCAGGACATGCAGTATTGGCAATGTGGGATCCCCGGGAAGCCTGACACAATATGGGAAGGGGGACTATTTAAGCTGGATGTCATCTTTCCCGACGGTAGGTGTGCTGTGCTTCAACCCAAATATATATATTCACGTATTTATTTGAAAGCCGGATTCTAACTGCGATTTCTGATACCTAACTACAGAGTACCCAACCAAGCCGCCAAAGTGTATGTCGAGTCACGCTCTCGGCTTTCGCCGTTCATTCCACCATACACATCCACACACATACATACTTACTAACTTCTTTCCCAAGGCAAATTCGTGCCGCCCCTCTTCCACCCCAACGTCTACCCCTCCGGCACAGTCTGTCTATCCATCCTCAACGAAGAAGAAGGCTGGAAGCCAGCTATAACCATCCCACAAATCCTTGTTGGGATCCAAGCGCTTCTGGACGACCCGAACCCGGAGTCGCCTGCGCAGGCAGAAGCCTATACCCTATTTAAGAAAGATCGTGCTGCGTACGAGAAGAAAGTTAGACAGGTTGTTAAAGAGAATCCGGGACTGTAGTTCTCCTATCTTCTTGTTTCCTTCTGGTATACAAAGCCTACGATGCTTCTGCTATTATGATGATTATGAGGAGGAGATGAGCTGAGATGGGTGGTTGGGAATTGCTGTCCTGGCTCTGAAAGTGTATTTTACTTCTTGGTTTGTAGCAGGGCGTCCCCGGTTGTTTCTTATTTGGCGCTTTTCTTTTTCTTTTACTTTTTCTATTACCTTTTTCTATTACTTTTTTCCCCTCTATAGTTTTTCATCTTCTTGAGTATAGGAACTGGGTTAGAAGAGATCTCACAATAAATGATATCAACGAGCAACATATTCTGATAATTCTTCACCCCTGAATACAATTCCAAAATGCTTAGAAAGCTATGCTTGGGAGGGAGAGTCTTACTTCTAATTAATGTATCTTTAATTGCATCAGCATGATTTCCACATCGTAGCGGAGCGATCACTATATCTACTTAATAATCCTTATTGAATAACTCACTAATTTCCCTTTCCTTCGCTCTTCAATACCGTAAACAGGCCTGGAATTGGGAAGAATGTGCGGGGAAGTTGAGCTATCCCAGCTAGTTAGAGTTGAAACGATATAAAAGCATAGAGATCGGGATTATTTATAATCATTTATATTTAAATTGCATGGATTTACGACAGGGTTTGAACAACCAGCCAGGGCATTATGTCAAAACTGACAAGGGGAAATCGCCCTACGTAGGTGATGAACTCCATAACAGGGCATGATCTAGTTTGAAAGGTAGGTAGGTATATTTGTTCATCTTCTTATTAAATTAAGTAGTGTTGTATCTGTGGAGCACTATAAAGGAGGCAAAACGGCGTTAAGATTGCAGGGGATAAAAGAAAAAAAAAAAAAAAAAAAAAAAAAAAAAAAGAAAAAGAAAAGAAAAATGAGCAGGTCTCTCCCGGCTCAATCAAGGTTAACTACTGTTTTCAGTTAGCTCGCCAGTCCTGAAACCCTATCTTATCACAAAATTTGTCCAACCCTTCTATCACGTGACGTATATTCCGCCATTCCCATAGTTTCATGAAATCTTTGCAATCCATCAAGCAAGCTTGTCATTCTGTCAGGTTATGAGACCTTGTTTTTGCACTCAAATGCTGTCAATTCAGAAGTTAATTTTATCAAAATCAACAACTGCTTGCTTTATTTAATTTATATATTATATTATATTTTAAATATTTGTTATATATTAAAAGATCTACTTTTTATTTTTATTTGAAAAAGTTTAATATTTATTTTTTCAATGATGTGTAGTTAAAAGAAAATATAAAATTTTCTAAAAGAGTGCGCTAAGTTCTCCTCCCTTGGAGGACCCTAATTGACGCTCATCTGAATCACCGCGTCTACTGGTCGATGGTCGTCTGCAACCTTGGAACCCAGAATGAGAGGGACGGGCTAAGCGATCTTTTTGACTGGGGTGTTTGAAAAGAGACGCTATTCGATGAGCAGCGCCCATGAACCCTGGCTTTGGCGTATAGAGCCTGTTTTGAGGACAGTTCTGACGACTAGGATTGGTTAAGCTGTCGTTAATTGACTTCAAACTCTCAGCGGCGAAAGGCGGCGGCGGCCTACAGGCTGAAGGCAGAGAGACCTTGTGGTTAATCCTCCACGCTGACCAATGAATGATGTGTGGGAACCGTGGATGGCGTCTCATAATTGCATCGACTACTGTGTACTCCATTAATGGACTGCCAAATTGTCGATCTTTTAAAATAACCCAATGGGCCACGGCAAGACAAGTAACTAAGGCGTAAAAACGATAACGAGAGGACATCAGTTGCACCTACGAAACATTGTTCGGGGTTTTTTGGGGCTTATGTCAGCCAGAACTCTGGTTTCGTTGCTCGGCAACTATTTCATTGAGGCTTTGTTGACAATTAAATCATATTTCACAACACCTTCCCAGGATCTAGATAATGGTTGTATCCCAAGTTTCTAATATCTTTAGCACTGAGCATGGCGGAAGGAGATAGCTGAGTCTCCGCTTTGCTTTCCTACCCGAATCAATCAGTAGCAGAAGAGGGGTTGGGATTATCTTCTGTCTCTTTGTTCGCCATTATTCTTCCGTTCGGCTTACCACCCACAATCCTGAGTCTGACGGTGAATTACATCAAGAGGATGTATTGACGTTGCATCTACCAAGCTGAACTGTTGTACGTAGGACCCAGCTAACAGCGCACCGCTGCATTGACCAGGTCCCCCCCCATGGTTCGTTCCAATATTGGCTTTAGGAATTACAAACGCAAGGATATGTTGCCAAGCCACCTCCAGCTAGTGCAAGCGGTTCAAAATGCTCAGAACGATGATCCTTCTAGACTTTACCGTGGCCGGGTTCCTATCTCTTCTGATCGGGAAAGCAATCGCCAAACTGCCCTACAACCCCTCATATATCAGCAACCCGACTTCTGAGAACCAGACCGAGTTGTACATCCTATCTCCTCGTTTGGCCCCATCGACAGGATTCCGACTTCAGTCTTTGAATATTTCAGCTCCCTTCAACTCTTCCGAGCTCCCGATCACAGAACTTTCGGACAATGTACCTTTCGCTACGAATGATGGTGAGCAAACATTCATTGCAACCACCGATGCAGAGGGTGTCTTGACGGTTTATACCGGGGACTGTCATACAAACACTTCCAGCGTTTGGAGGCTTCTGCCAGGCAATGGGGTGTCGAGTGGCAACTTCCAATGGCAGAAGTCATCAGTCCATGGCGATGAGGGGAACCCCGGACCAGCGTTCTTGTCATCAGCAATTACATATCCTGCAACTGGAGATGCGCCACGGCCCGACCTCTTTGTTTTCGGGGGGATGTGTCCGTTTACGGCGAGCAGGAAGGATGACGACTGGGTCTCTTCTGCCAACTATTCCCAAACTATGGTATCCCTCACCACGGAGGGATCGTCATCAAACCCGTCTTATCAGGTTCGAATCGTGACTTCACAATCTCCTCCGGTCGCCGAAGCAGGATTTGCCATGACACCGATGATTCCAGCTTATTCGAATTCCTCGAGTGGTAAACTCCTGGAGCATCGGAGTTTCGTTCTCACTGGTGGACATACCCAAAATGCCTTTGTCAGTATGTCCCAGGTTGCACTCTTTTCCCTCCCTGAAGCTACTTGGAATTTTGTTTCTGTGAGTCAGAAAGACATAAATTTCCCCAAGCTAGATTTGGGCGATATCGACGGAATAGAACCGCGTTCTGGTCATACCGCAGTTATGACGCCAGATGGGAGCAAAATCATTGTTTTTGGAGGGTGGGTTGGCGACATCAGCACTCCCGCTCATCCTCAGCTTGCGATTCTTGAAGTTGGAAAGTCGTATGGAGGAACGGGAGACTGGAGATGGACAGTCCCTCAGCAAAACGTACTCGGACCAAAAGATGGCACCGGAATTTTTGGCCACGGTGCGGCAATGCTCCCCGGAGGTATTATGTTGGTAGCAGGGGGGTATAGTATTCATCAGTCAACATTAAAACAATCCTTTACAACGCTTATCGCCAATAAGCAGGGATATCTCTTCAACACATCTTCGGGTAGTTGGATTGCTTCTTACATTCCGGTAAACCGGATGGAAGCTAGCTCCATAAAGATGCATGGGCCACTGTCGTCGACCGCTCAGAAGGCTGGCCTTGGGATGGGTGTCGGAATTGGGATTATAATTGTTGCTGCGTTAATCTCTTTTATTTACCGTATCAGTTCTCGTCACTCGCGGGAACATCGGAGAATTCGAGAACAGGAATTGCGAAGGCTTGCTCTAGGAGCGGAACGTCCACATTTTGACTTATCCGGGAACATTCATGACCCGGTGAGTCACGTAACAACAGATAAACTGTCTCCCCATCCCAATACTCACTTTTGGTTTGACGATGAAATGGGCAGAAGGCTGCATGGCTCGCAAAAACCTGGCGCGCTCGCTGCAGAAAGAACTGAACTGCTTGTGGAAACATCGAGTCCCACAAGAGGGCTTCGAAGAGGTATGCATTCCCGAGGATATCAACCAGCATCGCACTATGACAATTCGAGAAGAAATGTGGGATTCAATGCTATACATCCCATCGACGAAGGAGACGAGTATGAAGACTCTCGAGAAGATGAAGCCATCGCTGCAGAGAAGAGAGAAACACATCGCGAGAACAGGAGCTCTGTAATCTCCAATCCTTTCCATGACTCTGCCCAATACAGTGAGTCCCACAGTGCAGGCCATACGCAGCGGCGAATGTCGGCGTTTTATGAAAACCCCGCACCCCTCGAATGGATGGATGACACCAATGCCAATGGTTCTGGTAACCGCTGCCTGTCACTTAATAAAAGTGACCGTACGCTCTCTAACTTATCTGAGGCTTCCGGTTCATCCTTGTCGGTATATTCTCATCAAACGAATCCTCTATATCTGAACAAAAATTTGGCGCCAATGCTTAGCTTTCGGTCTCAAAGGAATGGGGGAACCGCTGGTTCTTCTTCCATTGGTTACGAGCCAATTCGTAGCTCGTCCCCAGAAAAGCACAATCAATGCCAATTGCATCTACAACCCACAACTTCTAGTAGTTTCAATCCAGTTAACGATCTATCCCCCGAGATGACACAAACCTCAAACACAACAATTACACCCTTGAATTTTGCACATAACAGTTCTTTCAGCCAACTGCAGGCAGAAAGTGGGTTGCTGCTTGGCACTGCACCGTTGGAATCCTCGAAGAGAAGCTTAGACCTCTCAAAAGGCAAAGGTCTAGGATGGATTAGCAATTCCAGACGCACCATACGTTTGGTGAGGAGGACAGAAGACCCCACAGAACCATACCCTGTCTGCTCTGAAAACGTGTCGATGATGCAACGGCGACGAAGCACGAGCACGAGCACGAGCACGAACACGAGCCGTTCTAAAAGCCTATATAGCTTCCATGATGATAGAGAATCGACTGGTTTGGAAACAAACAACATTCCCCGAAGGGCTGTGAGCACCAGCTCATCCATGCTAAAGCGCAAACAAGGTGCAAAGGATTGGGATGCGAAGAGATCTTTTGCTGATACCGAGATCCTTCTAGCGCCTCGTGGTGGAAATTCTCATGCCGATGGGCCAGCGTTGTCGCATGGTGGTGCGGGTGGAATTCGAAGAAGCGATTCAGCCCATTTCTTTGATTATGATGACGAGGAGGAATGGGATGTTGAGGCTGCTGCGGAAGGGAGGCTGGTGCAGGTCACGTTCACTGTACCTAAGAAGAAGCTGAGAGTTGTCAACCCGGGCGTTGGAGATGGTGATGACAACTCTGTTAAGTAACCGGAAACTACAGAACTGACGAGTCGCGATACGGGTGATTATAGGGATGGGCAGGATCAAGGCCACCAAGAGTCGGATTCGGTTCCTGAAAAGAAAGCAGGTCGGTGATTGGCCTGCTTTTTGGCGCTGTGTTTTCAGCAGCGGGAGAGTCGATTGCTTAATTTGATTCTCCCCTCTCGTTTTCTTTTGTTGAAAATGTGATTTTTTTTTTCGACTCTCTTTGGAAGTATTTTGAAAAATCGGTTAGGGAGATGTTTTATTGATCTGTGATGTCATATTTATGTGGCTATTTTTAGATGTATGTGGTGGACGATATGATTTTGATGATACCAAGAACTTTGCGAAGGCACATATATGCTGGCGAGTTTGTGGCGTGGTTTCTTTGAATGATGGGCTTCTATTTCATGTTTTCCTATCTTTTCCCTTGCAGAGAGAGACATCGCCATTCCATCACCCATTCAATTCTTAATGTGTATAAGCGTGAAATCTATTAGCTATATATCTATCATAATTCATTCAGAGCTCTGTCAGGTACTTCAATACATATATGTTGTTACACTTACGTTCACCTGCCGTAACTAGATACCGTGTTTTAATCTTACTGCCAAATATCCGGATTTTATGCACATTCATATGCATGTGATCCCCGCCAAAATCATACAGCAAACGGTGAAACGTAGAAGAGGAATGCGTGCATCAGTGTCCGAGCTTGCTCGTAAGCCAGTTGGAGATGCTGCCAATATCTGCATGAAAATCGAAAGCGCCGGATCCGGCCAGGAGACTCGTCCAATCGGAAATTTCATGTAGTTTCCTATTGGCAAGGACCTCGTGGATTTTTTGGGACTGTATGTCAGCCTGCTCGCTATCTGCGGAAGTCGAAATCTCGCTGGAGATTATTGCACCGGATTTCACTCGTAGGAAGACACGTGTCTGTGCAAGTGGAGATACATGTTAGTAAGGACTCAGTATTGCCGTTCAGGAAACGGAATGTTTTGATTTTTATTATAAAGAGAAGAAGGAATTTGGATGGGTGAGCGTTTTGGTTAGTACTTACTGAGGTAGGCAGGTCTGATGGAAGAGGAGGTCTGGGCCTGGCGTCCTCGTCGCTGGGATGGGTTGAGAAAGTAAATTGAGGGGATTGGCAGTATTTCCATTCCAAAGACTAATGAATATATTAGTTTGGCAGCTCAGGGGGACATTTACAAGGGCGGGCGTACAGACCTTAAGCTCCTGAATCCCTTTGACAATTGCCGGCTCTTCGAGAGCATGGAAGTCATCAAGCCCACCAACAGCCCAGTTATCTCCCGTATGAAGCTCCGGGTCAATTGCGTGGGCTCTCTGGGCACGTAAAACAGCATCCGGGTGTATGCCATAAAGCCGGGCAAATTCTTCTATGATATTGCAAACTACCTGCTCCATCAGATAGGAGCTGGAGGGAACTGCGCTTGAAATATTCTCGACAGGCGACCTAACACTTTCCACACCTTTCGCCTTGATGTAAGGTCTCGCAGGAGATCGTAAGAAAATGCTTATGTTTCCAAGGTTTGGGGAATCTACTAAGCAAGTTCCGTGGTGCATTGCTCGAATTCGGGTAAGCTTGTACGCGGAGCCCGAGATTTTGACTGTATTGTGTATTTTTTCGTCCTGAGGACCCTCCACATCTTCCGCTTGAAGCTGGACGACTTTGGTGGACGGTTCTCTAGTATCTTGCCCAAGGACAATATCATGCCGCCCGTTTACCCTTGCATTGGTCGCACCAACACGATGGAGGGCCCTGACTACCATCTCCGCATGTTTGTCCCGATGAAAAATGGGTTTCGGACAGATGACAGAATAATTCAGATTGCCCTCATCATGAAATACTGCACCGCCTCCAGATCTCCGCCGTACAATATCTGCATTGTTGGGAGCTGTGTCACGTTGTAATGCTTGGAGATTTGTTTCAAGCCATGGGTTTTGATTCCGGCCAATGACGACGCAAGGCCTATTTACATATAAGAAAAGGATGCGTGAGTCTTGGGGCGTATTCTCGAGTAAAAAGTTCTCAATTGAGAGATTCACGAAGGGGTCGTTAGAGTGAGAATAATAGATTTGATGCTGACAGGATCGACTGCTTGCAGCAACTGCGAGACTTGAAACATGTTTTCTACCACCTAAAAAAAGCCTTTGTTGGGCTTTCTGGAGCGTTGATATATGCGTAGGTGGCGTCCATTGCAAAGGGCGCAATGGAAGCATTGATGGGCGACAAGTTCATAATAAGTCCTAGGTCCAAGTTGCTCCTTGATATAACTCTATCTGTCAACGTCAAACCTCCCATCAGAATGTTGGGAAGCTCGACGAGATTGCGGCTAGGCTTGAACAGGAAAGGTCGGTCAAGTCGAGCCGAGCCTTGGGCCTGAGTCATCCTATCAAACGGAATGGACCCCGATTTACCGCCCTGATCTTTTTATTTCATGCTTGTTCACAGTGCTAGAAGACTCCAAGGGTCACTTGAAATCCTCCTTTGGAGCCCCCATCGCTTTTGCTAATTTTTAATCCATTGCTCTAAGAATCGAGCAAAAAGACCAGTCAGTCCCATAGAAGTCCGCCCCGCCCGTTCTTTAGCCCCGCGCCCGCCATGTCCACATTTGGGGAGTATTTCAGGGTGACTACGTAAGGATTGACCATTCATTTCAGCGTTATGTTCGCGCCTAAACATATCTTCTAGCTATGGCGAGTCCCATTGTCGATCCGTCGGCTGCATTGTGGACGGTTGTCCACCGGGAATGGCCCTCACCGAAGCGGACATTCAACCCCAGATGACTCGCAGACGACCTGGCCAGAGTGCTCTTACCACCCCCCGAAATGAAAAGGATAGAGTTGAGATTCAGTCTGGCACCGAATTTGGTATCACTCTGGGCACACCCATTGGTATGATTGTCCGGAACGAGGATCAGAGACCTAAAGACTACGGTGGAAACACCATGGACCTTTACCCCCGCCCTAGCCATGCGGATTTCACATATCTAGAGAAATACGGCATTAAAGCAAGCAGTGGCGGCGGTAGAAGCAGTGCTCGCGAAACTATAGGTGTGTCCGTATTGGAGTTTCGATCCTTTCTCAGCCTTTTTGGTATCTAAGAATTCACCTGTCGAGATTGCCATTGCTAACAATTATCAGGTCGGGTTGCTGCTGGAGCTATCGCAGAGAAATACCTTAGGCTTTCCCATGACATTGACATTGTTGCCTTTGTTTCCTCCGTGGGGAATGAACATCTCTTTCCTCCTACTGCTGCTCATCCTAACTCAACGAACCCTGAATTTTTGAAACTGATCGAGACTATCGACCGGCCGACAGTCGACTTTTTTGCCCCCGTCAGGTGCCCTGAAGCATCCGCCGCCGAGCGAATGACCAAAGCCATCGAAAATTTTAGGGATCAGAACGATAGCATCGGAGGAACAGTGACCTGTGTTATCAGAAACGTCCCCGTTGGGCTGGGGGAGCCTTGCTTTGATAAACTCGAGGCAAAACTCGCGCACGCGATGCTTTCTATCCCCGCAACGAAGGGATTTGAGATAGGATCCGGATTCCTTGGTTGCGAAATCCCGGGCTCTGTTCATAACGACCCATTCGTCGCAACCCCAGACAGCCGGAATGGCCAGAACCCCGACTCAAAGCGATTAACCACAAAAACCAACAATTCAGGAGGTATACAAGGTGGTATTTCAAATGGCGCTTCAATATACTTCCGCGTTGCCTTCAAGCCCCCTGCTACAATTGGACAGGCTCAAACAACAACCAAGTATGACTTTGAAGAAGGTGTCCTTGAGGCTAAAGGGCGACATGACCCGTGTGTTGTTCCTCGAGCAGTCCCTATTGTTGAAGCTATGGCTGCCTTGGTCATTACCGATGCATTGATGGCACAAAATGCTCGAGAGACAGCCAAGAACCTGCTACCACCTCTTCCGGGAACCACGCACACTCATCCCGCTAGTTAGGAATAATTCGTATGTTGTATAAATTGCTCCCGGCCTTGTGATAACCAGGGAACGGGCAAACGCCAATTTAGCACCCACTTAGCATATCCACATCCATTACTTAATCAGCATGAAGCGAGCTCTGCAACTACATTCAATTGTGCTTTAGTTTTGCAACAAAGACATGACAGGCGTCCTTTATGATGGATATTTCTATGATTAGAAGGGGTTAAAACTTGGGGTCATAAAAGGTAAAAGGTCTGTTTGCGGGCATTTCTTGGCATTTCTCTCTCTTTTCCCCCCTACCCCCTTTTCTTTTTACTTTTTTCTTTTTTCTTCATTCTGGGCAATATATAGTTTCTCACACCCAATAGAACATTTTCAATAGAACATTTTGTTTTGTCAAAAGGCACCTCCCTCCTCCGTAGAATGCTTTCAAGTTCTGCATCATAGCCTGGTGGAAACGGTTCCCTGCTCGAGTATATACGCCGGAGACCCAACTAGTCTGTTACACTCTAAACCATATCCTAGTTACTGAGGACGTGGCGCTCATGTGAAAAAGTCATGTCTGGTGGTGTGAACAAGAAAACATGAAAATCCATGCCTCTTTACATAAAACATACATGATTTTTGAACCGACTCTCTATCTCCCGTCGAGAGAAGTAAAGGTGAAATAAGCTAGGGCTGATCATATCGTTATCCTCCTTCCTATACTGACTAAACAATCTCATGCACTGAAAAACGTTAAAGCAGGTTATATGTCCGCGTGTATGTACCTCCGTACTCCGTTAGAGGCAGTTTAAGAAAAAAAAAATATTATAGAAAAAATAAAAAATAAAAAGTTGTACGGTTTACAGAAAAACTATAGAGGAGGAAACGTGAAAGAAGCCACCTAACCATCCAGCTTAAATATACGAATAGAAAAGAAAAATAATGAAATGCCAAGGGGGAAACGCCAGGCGTATTCTCATGATATTTTTCCTTTCGAAGGAAAGGGAATGTACGAATTGGGGGGGGGGGGGGGGGGAAGAAGAGGATGGACGTGTGCATAGGAGTGTATTCGGTGGGAAGAGTAAGCGAAAAAAGGAACAGGTGTGATGGTCTAACATTGACAGAGCAAATATAGAAGGAGGAGGAAAAAGAGGCAGTCATAAAACGTTTTATAAACGGGCGGAAAGCAATCAACTGACAGCAACCCAGATACAAGAATAATCATTTGAAGATAAACAATAAAAACACACAAATATTGCGAAGAGAAGAAAGCAAGCTAATCTCAGCCCCGACGCGAGCGAAGCGCATATCGCATCGTTCGTGTCGTCGAGTGTGACTGTGATTGTGATTGTGACTGCTGTTGACATTGGGGCAACGGATGATCATCCAAACTCAAACCGCCAATCCCAGAGCTGGGGGTCTGTCGAGCAGGTGAGAACGTGGAACGAGAATATGCGTATCTGCGCTGAGGAGTAGCGGGTTCGGAAGCAATTTCTGATGCGCAGCTCGTTGAGGTAGTGACTGTGGTGGCTGATGGAGGTGTGAAGCGGAGGCTGTCGGGAAGGGAGTTGAAGGATGAAAAGGAGGAGGAAAGGTGTCCTGGACGGGGGATTGCGGAATAGGGGGCTGGATGAGTTGCAGTTGGGTCATTGGAGTGGGAAGCGAGGTTGTTGTAGGCAGGACTGGCGCTGTGGGTGTTGGTGCTGTGAGGGTTGCTGTGGGTTGGATTGTTGGAGGTATTCCTTGGACGGTTGTTGTTATTGTTGCTGTTTGCAGGGGTTCCTCTGATGTTATTACTGGATTTTTGCTTGATACTGAGGTTGGTGAGAGATGGGAGATTAGGTTCTTTTTTAAGAGGGTCATCGTATCCTTGGGTTTGAGGGCGGGTTGTCTGGTTTGGTTGCTGAGGTGGTTGGCTGCTCTGAGTCTGTTGTTTCTTCTGGCTATTTTGTGCTGGCGCGGCCTTTCGTGAGAAAATTGAGCCCAGTGCAATCATCTCTTGTCCAACCATGAAAGCCACCAAACATTTTCCAGCCGTCTCAAATTTATATCTATCATATAGTCCTTGAGGAGAATAGATAGCAAGACAGACGCAAGCAGCGAGTTCGACAACGGACAGGATTATATCAAACGCACTCCAGACAGCCAGTGGTCTCATGAGAGATTCGAGGAGCGAGAAGCCAGAAATAAGAAGTGAAATTCCTAGAACCGCAGTTCCAACAGAGTTTCCAGGCAATCGGAAAGCCTGGGCGGCAAGCAATATGGAGATAGAAATAGCAAGCAACACACATTTCAAAATTCGAGACGAGTGAGCGGAAGCCCGGGCGCGCTGCTTGGATTCTGAGCTCCATGGTTGTTTCTGCACGTTTACTGGGTCATCTCTGATTGAAAAGGCTTTGTCGAACAGACTTTCCAACCCCGTTTCCGCGGCAAAATCGCTTGGCGGGAAATATTTTGGAGGAGCCATAATACTCTCCATATGTCTTCCCTGGTTAGAAGAAAGATTTGGCTGCAGGACTGGGGCATTTTGAAAAGGATTAGGTTTGGGTTCCGGGGCTTTGGGTCGCTCTTGGGTAGGGTTCCGTAATCGCCAGGCAGGCGGTTTTGGAATTGGTGGCAATTGACCTTGGAATGGCAGTGGTTCTCTAGGTTCCTGAGTTTGAACATGTTTGGGTGTAACGTTTATCTGAAGTGGCTGCTGAGATGGTGTCCAGTCCATTGCGTCAGAGTCGTCAGTGACATCCGCCTTTGGAAATGGCGGAAGACTCGATGTTTGGGCAAGGGGTCGAGGAGGTGCAAGGCTGTTAATCGGGAACCGTTGCAAGCTAGGATCTGAACGAAAAGACGAGATTTTGGAGTGTGGTGGACTTGCTGTTTGTAGCATGGACGCATTGTTCTCCTCTGATTTCTGTGATATCAGAGGTCCGATGTTGCTCTGCCAGGAGATGAGGGGTGTGGTGTCAAATTTGATAACGTATCTCGACAAAACCACGGACTAAAATATACGTTAGTATGTGTATAGGAAGTAATCCCAGATACCAGCTGCACTCACAATGGCAGTGAAAATACCCATAAAAGCATGGATACCAGGACCAAGCTTTGGATTGATGCCTGTGATTGAAGGGTCTTCCAAACACGCCCATGCGACAAATCTCACAACAAGCACGATGATTTGGACTTTGTAGTATTCGCCAATTCCAGTTAATCGTCCACCCCTCCCTTCCACCTTATGCTTGAGCTTCGGATTCCACCAAATCGACAGAATCCCCAGAATCAAAGATAGCCCCGCATAGGGGGTCATAACGGAAGAACACTCCTCAAAGGCCGATTGATGTTTCCAGATTCGACCAAAGCAGAGTGGTAACAATGACAATGAAAGATCCGATTCTGTGTTCTGGGTTATGTTGCCAGCAACCATTGCTCCCATGAGATTCCAGACAAGCTGACTAGCAACACTAGCCCGGAAGCACATGGCACCCGCAGAAACAAGCAAGCTTCTCCAGCTCCATCCATGATAACGACGAGTAGATCGACCATTTCGGCTCTTTTCCATCATCCTCCTCAAGTGATCCGCCTTTGCGACATATCCGGCTTGCTCAATGCGACTGCGCACACGGGGTTCGCACTTCTCGCATACCTGGGGATAACGCTCCTCCAAGCTCTTCCGGTATTCTGGATACGACGCTTCGTATGTTTCAAAGTCCGGATGTGTCGGCATCGGCAGGTATGAAGCAAGAGTTTGAGTAAGAACATGTTGATTTTTCAAGCAAGTCGAACAGAATATCGAGCAGTCTGAAGCTGCAAATTCTCCAGGCAGCGATTGCGCATATTGTTTAAACCCAACACCGGAAGAAGCTGCGCTGGCTGGGGGATCCGTGATTTCACCGTGCTATCAACACAAGTATCAGGAGAGTTAGTATCAGCAACACAAACGGGAGGGATAGAAACGCGCTCACTTCATCGAGGTAGTTGACAGCCAGACACTGTTGGCACTGCCACTGGCGGATGGGACCGGGCTGGGACTGAACTGATCGACGGCCACAGTAAAAGCAGCACAGTCGCTTTTTGAAAAGGGACGACATGGCTATTACATGCGACGAGGCCGGATGGGGTTGAAAGACGCCAATGTGCAGGGAAAACGAAGGACGATATATTTTGTCTTTGGTGATGAACGCGAGGAGCTAATAAAATCAACACAGAATAATGGCTCAGGGCTTGGCAACATCGTGGAATTATTTGGAGTTCAACTAAACAACCAGCTTGAATGTAGAGAAACAATGTTAAGTTAACGAGCAACATTCACTTGTCAACTTGTCAGGTGTATGAAATAAGAGAATCATCTCCCGCAGAATAGATATTTATATGAAGACTGAACGAGATCAGCCAACAATACAGATGCCATTTACAGATGATCAATAGGGACAGGTCAGCCTATTTAATTCTACACAATGGAGAATCAGGGAATCCCCGCTGTGAATTAGCTGTCACTGCTTCAACAGCATTGAATCGAGTACAACAATCATCGAGAAGTTGCTTCGACACTCCAGATGGTGGATGCTTCAGGTGTGCTAGGTACAACATCGACTATTTTTTGACTGTATGCGGCCAGAGCTATCTCGAAGTTGTTAAATGAATGAATACAATAGGCCTTTTCTCCTCTTCCATGACAGCTCGAAGTACAATAATATCGCAATATCTCACCTCCAATAACCTCAATGGCATTTATGACTCTCATGCTCACTTTATTCGTGACGATTTTTACACCTATTTTGTTGGTAGGACTCTTTTCATTGAAAGCAATGCATCCATTCTGCTCAACCATGGGGGTTACAACGATCCCTGAAAGCAAATTCCTGCTAACCAAATGATGCAGATTGCCATATATTACGACCACAAACCCAACAATGGCAGCGGCAAAAATAGAAGGTCACCAGGCCAGGAATTTTGCCGCCCCGTTCACCTTCTCATAGTCCTGGGCAGCGGCGGGCACACCGCAGAAATGCTCTCCATGCTCAAACATGCCCCGTTGGACACTAATCTCTTCACCAAACGCACCTATGTGGTCAGCTCAGGGGACTCCTTCAGCGCACTCAAAGCAGTGGAGTATGAGCAGTATCTTCTTGAGCAACAGCAAAATTCTCCTCCCGCTTCCGCCAGTAGTGAAGGCGGAAATTCTCAATCTCAACCTGCGCCGGGTCGGAATCAAGCAACAGACATCCAGTTACAAGGCAAGAAAACTGAAACCAACGCTCCTGATACATCTTCACCTAAAACTCCATTTGAGTCGCCATCACCATCACCATTACAATTACCATACACAATCGTCACCGTACCCCGTGCAAGAAGGGTCCACCAATCATACCTAACAGCGCCAATATCCACTCTGCATTGTCTATGGGCCTGTATCCAAGTTCTACGATGTAATCATTCTGATCAAAAGTTATCAGAAGAAAAGAACTTCTCCTCCCAATCCTCATCTTCACCATCACCACCTTCATACTCTACAACTCCATTCCCATCAACTCCTTACCCAGATATAATCCTCACAAACGGCCCCGCCACAGCCGTTTGTGTCATCATCGCCGCAAAAATACTGCGTACCACCGACTCTATATTACCGTTCCTCTCCTGCTTCTTTCAACTGCAACGGCCACAAGACGCTTCCCCACGCCTTAGGAAAAGATACCTCCGCACCATATTCGTCGAGTCGTGGGCGCGCGTCACGACGCTTAGTTTATCGGGTAAGATCGTGCTGCCGCTTGTGGATCGGTTCTTGGTGCAATGGGACGGGCTGGACGGGTATTCGAGTTGTTTAGGTGGGAAGGCGGAGTTTGCAGGGGCGCTTGTGGCCTAGGAGAAGGTTGGGATGCTCGTTCGATTGATTTTATTTTATTTTATTTATTTATTTAAATTTTAGAAAGAATTACTTTCGAAGAGAACATATCCAAGTTTTGCAGTAAATTTATTAATTCGTTTTCTTTCCTCTGGGAACTTATTTTAAATTTTCATTTAAGTGTATGAAATTGTGAGATATCGTAAGATATTGTATCAATGCAGTGTCTTATACCATTGTTTATATAAATAAATGTTCTGTATAGGTGGATGAGACATGCTGGAGGGTCAGGAAGAAAGTAGTAGGTAGGGGCTTTGGTTGCCTTCAGAAATCTATCCATTCATTTCAGACAGCGTGCACAAAACAGTCAATCTATCTCATCCAGTCATTAACTACGAACAGAACATGCAAGCAATCAAGTTTCATTTTGCTTCATATGCATCGACAGAAAGAGGGCTGTTAACCTCAAGAAGATATAGTACTTGCACTCCTGATACTGATGGGCACACAGTTCACCTACCTACTGCCTGCATAGGAAGATATCTAAGCCCTAAAGAAATGGAAGAAAATCAAAAGAGGGCTGGGATAACATTTGGTTCCGGTACACGTCAGCACAGAGCTACCCATGTCTTTATGGCGGGCGGTTAAAGAACGTATATATGCAACACAGGAGAGGACAATCAAACCCACCCACAGGCATTTTACACTACATCTACGATCGCGACAGTCATCCATTGATCTCCAAAACATCGGTCTGTGAGGGTTATAAAAAAGTTGCATCTGCAACAAAGATTTGTTTGATCCGCGGAACTAAAAAGCCTCAACATGACCGTCTTTGATCGTCAAGTAGCTATCGGAAAGAAGCTGGATTTCTTAATATCTCTCATATTCGAGATGAGAAGAACCTGTGCGACGTGTGCAGGATCTCTTTTAAGGTTACGGCGAGTCCGTATATATCGTCGTATATATCGTCCAAGATCACATTATCCGGACATGAGTTCTGAGGCAGTTATCTGACAGGTGTCTGTGTGGCATCTAACTGTACACGTACGTGTGGAGGTATGCATATATTAACAGACAGCCGACACGTGTATTCTCTCGCAGACTCCAAACATCCTTTGACCCAGTGGTTCGCGGCAGAGGTTCAAAACCACGCGATACTGATTACAGCTTATTATTAAGCTGCGGCTCAGAATTTGCAGGGCGGAAAGTAGTAAGAAGGCGGCGCATTTAAGGCGAAGCTAAAACTGACCCGTTAAACTGTACTGCTGCAGCAATATTTTCCACACCAAAGAATTAAAATTAAAACTAAAATAAAAGTCGCAGTCCCTTACTTTTCGCATCTAAAATATCAAGTGAGAAAAATGTATCAAAATCATGAGTGGATGGAGTGAAGTGATTTGGGATAAGCTCAGAGCCCAGAACGTCGTCTTTCGGAAGCCCTGACGATCAATTTAAGGAAATTCAACAGCCGTATGCGTTGTCAATCCTGCTCTATCCCCATCCCGCCCTTCCTCCATATAAGAAACGCGCTGAGTGGAAAGCCGAACAAGGGACCATTGACCGTATGGTGGTATGACGTGTGTATCCCAGGAAAAAAAAAAAAAAAAAAAAAAAAAAAAAAAAAAAAAAAAAAATTAAGGTTGGAATTTGCCAGTGCAACTAATCCCGGGCAAAGCTATGAGCTCTCCGTTGGCTAAATCTTCTCAGAGACCCGATAGAAAATTCCGCCATCCTCAGTCAGGTCCAATTAGGTTTGTGCCGGCCGTCCGCTGAGCCGTGGAGGGTTTCTCTTCTGGATGGAAGAATGTGTACCCGCCTATGGATTCAGCCAAGAGGGAAAGCTGGGCCATAATAAAAAAACCTGTCGGCTTGCTACCAAAGTAGTTCTTGAAGGAAGGGTCTTTGTTCCTGGCGAGTTTTTGACAACCAGTCGCAAGCGGAACCTCTTCTGTCCCTGAAACACGCAAAATCTAAAATCCAACTGACTGCTTTTTCAGCAATCCGGGGCTGGCATGGGGGAATTATATGGACTGCAATTGGCAACATATCCATAAGACAGAAAGCAATTCCGAATATTTGCCTTGCTTGAAGACGTGGACAGCGTTGAGTGGGATGGAACATGGAATCGCTGACAAAGACAGCTGCAGATACGCCGCTGACGTCATCGCCAGGTCGAGACATTCCCTCGAGTCAACTTCTAAAGGATTGAATGAATGGTCGGATTTGGATGCCAGGTGCACACACCGGCTTTGACAACCCTGGAAGATAGGAAAATAGATCTGGACGGTCTCTCCAGGATAAGCCGGTTTCGGATTGGTTTAATCCATGGAACATCCCGACGGTGCCAGACACAGATCAGGGTGAGTGGATAACCAGGAGACAACTTTATGTCAAATCTTTTATACAAGAAGCAAGGAACTAAACATCGCGAATCAAGTTCCTATTTCTGTATTCCATCCCAAACTCTCTCCTTGTGCTGCAGTATTATCATTTAATAAAAGCACTTTAACGAGTAGCTTTATACCCTGACAGCCCGTGATAAATTCGTGATATGCAATTAGAGGGAAGAAGAGTAAAGAAAATTCTTCTCATTGCAGGAGTTGAGAGGCCTACGCAACCCGGATCTGATGTCCATTGCTATCAATATTAAATAATAATGCTGCCGATTTAATCCCTGAACAAACACAATTATCCAGGCACAACGCGAGTCCAGGCCTTTGGCGGAAAGAAGAAGACGAGAAAAAGCAAAATAATCTAACTATAGAAGATGGTGATGATGAAGAGCTTTGCAAAGTGGAAATTTCACCCGTAACAGACCCAAATATGCACAAACTGCTTGATCCATGAGAGCATATTGGATTTCCCCAGGTTTCAACTACTCCTACGGACTGCCATGCTGCGTTGATCGAAACTCCTGCACGATCCAACCCCATTTGACAGATGTAGCAACTTCTAGAGCATTGTTGGAGGATGAAAACAAAACTGAAAATATTCCTCAAACCCACCGTTGCTCATACTGCCACTGCTTGGTCAACAATCACCCAGATCTCAAATTCTGGTATTCGTGTTTACGTTGCGTGTGCCTGTGCTTCAGTCCCACGCCTAATATCAGATCTCCAGCCGTGTTTGAAATTGGACGAAGGTGGGGATCTCTGAGTGCTCGGTGTAGGTGTAGCGGTAAATAAAAATTGAGAAAATCCATTCCACTCTTTGACGTGTTTTACGAAGGATAAATCCAAAAGAGTTACAAGAATGAAAATTCGAAATTCAGAATGCGAAAGGTAGAAGAGGGACATATTAATGTGCATGGCATACTTGCTATCTCAACTGAACCTGCAATTTTCTGGAATATAGTGCACTGGTTTCAGCATGTCAGTATGTACGGATTTGATTTACAGGTGGCTAGGTTACACGGTTAGTTGACATATCATTTCGCTGTTGTCAATGATTCGTCTGAATGTGGAACATATACTCTTATTACCCCCAACATCGAAGGCCAGTGATAGTTTCAAAAACTCAACTTCTAGCATGGCTTAATGGACTGCATTGGTGTCTTCCCAAGTTGGCAGTTATTGAACGAAGAAGCTTTGGAATGGGCAACCTTCTTTTGGATTGATATGCATGGAAATCGGAAGTTCTGGACCTCACAGGGACGCTTGCACGGCAATCTCTTCATGCATCCCACATCGCCACACAACACTGAGCTTACATTTTCTTCACGATAAAGGAAGAAAAGGAAAGCAAAAGACCCGAGTCTTGCTCTAGTAACCCCCACTGCCCATTTCTCACCTCTAGGCTGTCGTGTGCTAGAAACACCCGACAAGTCAACAATGCCGCAGCTGTCAAACAATTGTTTAGGGTTGATCTTCTCCCACTCTACAAAGAAGAAAAGTTCTCCATACTTCTTAGGGCTATGCATGCAGCCATACGGTAAGATAACCTTTTCTATCCCATTTCTTTGTCGTTTTGTTTTGTTCTCTTGATCTGTTGATCGGTTGCTGTCCGCAAGTAAACCTGAAAGACATCACTTCTCCTACTACCCCTCTTTAAAACTGTCCAGTCCAATCAACCCGATGCCAGTTCCTGGCCTACATACCCAATTGCTCTTGTGAGTGGTTATCTTTACTGCAGCATATGCATTCCTTCACACATGACAGGTGGACACAAGGTAAAAAATTAAATGACACGGAAGACAACAAGGCTGTCATGCTATTGCTCTCATTTCTGTGCTCTCATTTCCATACGTCATATGTGCTGGATATATCAAGCGCCAGACTCTTGTTGCCAGCAACCTTTTTTGTATGTGATAAGTTGCAACCCTACCTAGGTATATAAGTTATGGTAACATGTGAATCCACCAATATTTTGACCCCTGGCGATTCCTCAACCAGTGGCCCTTGGGTGCGATGAATTCCATCATCCACAATCCATGCCGCAATGCAATAGAAACCTGGATGTATTTTATTTTAATATGCATCTCCAAGCAAGGGGGGAAACAAAACAGGAAAAGAAAAAAATGGCACACAAAGCGCGAGACCTCTTATCCCTCACATCTCTACTATTTTCTTTCTTAGGTTCTTCACTTCTGCTTCTTTTCCTGTTTCGCCATTCAAAAAAAAAAAAAAAAAAAAAAAAAAAAAAAAAAAAGGCAAAAAGAAACACTAACCCAAAAGGTTTCACTAGCTGAGGTTAAAAGCCCACCCGCCGATCCAAAGAGTCCACTGCCACAAGAACTGCAATTCGAAATCGTTCACAGGGGCCCGGGGCATAAAAACTTCCTGCTGGGCCTGGGTCGCCTAACCAGAACATGAACGGATCATTTCTCAGGCCTACTTTCTCCTCATTCTTCCACAGACCAGTCACCACAGTCCCCCATTGCCGCAAGAAAATCCTTGGAATTTGGACGGAAGCGAAAATCCCTTGACTCTAGGTTTAGGGTCGGCAGGAATCCGCTCTGCTTTTGTTTTTTTTTCCCACCTTCTTTAAGCCTTCTTTAACCTTTTTACTAATAACTAAGTAAGCTGCTTTTGTTGTTGTTTCTTCCCCTTCTTTTTTTTTTTTTTTTTTTTTTTTTTTTTTTTTTAATTCTCCTTTCTTCACAATATTTTCGCAACAAATGAGGCAAGGAGGAGGCCCCCCTGGAGAAACGTTTGAACGTATCCATGCAAGACATGGTTAACTATCTTCTAGCGCACAGTCTCCGTTTTTCTTTTCTTTTCTTTTCTTTTCTTTTTTTTTTTTTTTGGCTCTCCACTTTTGCTGCTGGTGACGATAAGCTAAGCGCAATTAGTGGTTAACCAGCAACAACCTTCTTGGAAACGGGGTGTGGAGCCACGATCGAAAAATCTTCCCACAACAATGTCAGGTTCGGGCTTTATAATATTTTTCTTCCAATATTTCCAGATGATTTTGTCCGAAGTAAAAACATGTAGACCAAAAGCATGGAGATTTATGGGGGGGATCAAGACTGGATATTCCGTACAGACTGCAGAGTAAAAGAACACATGAATCTGTCAACCAGATTAGCTGTTAGGTACCAGAGTCTGCTCTGTTCTCTGCTTTGGATCCTTCTAACTTCCCGCCTTTAGTTACCAGTAACTTGTAAGGCTGTAACCGTTTTCCTTCCCATCTTCCTCTTCTCAAGAGTCAATAACCGCCATCCGGGAAATAAAATAAACAAATCCATTGGCACAGAAAACAGCACTCCTCTAGCGTCTGCTCTGTTGAGAATTCTTCTCGCTCTTCTCTCCAGTCTTACTCGGTTGGCTGCAGGGTTAAGTGTCAGTGGTGTAAGTGGCTGCGTTATTCTTCTCTCACTCTTCACACTCATTCACACCATTCACAGTGTGCCCTTCAGAGCATTCACAGTCTTCGCTCTGTTTTCTTGTTGCCCGATCTCTGCCTCACACATCACTCTCCTGATCACCACCCAGTCCACAGCAGATGTTATCTCCCGCATTGACTATCTTCGCACTCTCCTGCCGCTCTGCTTGGGCCTTGCAGTGACGTCTGCTCTGTTCTGCTCTGCTCTCCTCGGGTCTGTTCTGTTCTGTCGGTCTGTTGGTGGGACTGGCTGGGTCAACAAGCTACCAACTCTTGCAGCCCACCGCGCTTTAATCTCACCGTTTCCTCTTTCAGTCTCTTCAAGCCTCAACCCGTTCTTCATGCTGATGCTGTTCGTCGCTGTGCAACTCTGCTGCTGATCTTATTGACTTTCCAATTCACTGACTTGGATCCAGTCTGACACTCTAATTTTTACCTATATTTCCCCC